AGGGAAAGAGGCGGACGGAAGAAACATGGAAAGAGGTGGACGGAAGAAGGAGGATCTGATTATTGTTCTTCAAATTAGAAAAAATTACAAAAATACCGGATGTACATGTACATCCGGGTGTACGGTATAGGCTCTCCTGGTCTACCCATCCAGTCAACTTTACGCCTCTGGGGTTGCTTTCTCGCGAGGCTAATTTAGATATTGAGTAAAGGGTCAGTTTGGTCTTTGAAGTTGCAAAAAAGGGGTCAAATAAGACCTTATATAGAAGATTCTGTCCGGACGTGTCATTTGAGGTGGCTCCCGGTGAAATTTTTTGATAATTTTTTTGAGCATCTTATTCATTAAGTCTTAGTTAAAAATTCAATCGGGAAGACATTCAAATGAATTATTGAAGATAACTGCGCTTTTAACGGCACAATTATCTTGAAGAATTCATTTTAATGTCTTCCCGATTGAATTTTTATCTGAAATTTGGTATGAGTGAACTAGACATAATGAATAAGATGCTCAAAAAAATTTATCAAAAAATCCACCGGGAACCGCCCTAAATGGTGACGGCTAGATAGAATTTCCTATATAAGGACTTATTTGACCCCTTTTATGCAACTTCGAGGACCAAATTGACCCTTTACTCTTTAGATTTTAGATAAATTCCTATTTATTTTTATTTAATAAAGTGGTTGTGAATAGTAATTTGGAGTCTGTGAATAGAATTACCAAAAAGAATAGAAAACACAAAAGATAATTTTTAATTTTAGCTATATGGACTTACGGCTGATTAACTTCAAATTCATGTAGTTGCAACAAGTCAAAAAATCTAGAAATTTACGCATAGCACATTCATTTTCCAATAAAAGTGGTAATCTGTCACGAGGAGTCAAGGAGATATTCCAACAAATCAGAGCATGTAAATTGTAAACTGTAAAGAGGATTTAATACTTCAAATATTAGGAATCAACTTGTTAGCTTTGAGCGCTTTGGTGAAGAAACGCTACAATACATGGGTTTTAATTTGGACCGTTTTTAGTCCCAGTTCAGACGAGGCCATGCCAGACTTGGATATGTATAAAATACACATAGATCAGACATTTATTAGACCAGATTAGATCAATTCGTTCTAGAAGTCGCTATAGGCGCCCGACTAGTTATGCCTAGGTGCCTAGGCGGTGACCTGGCGTCACGATTTTTGTCTAGGCCCTCCGATTAATTGGTTTGACGCCTAGGTGAATTAGTCGACCGCCTAGGGCGCCTAATTGCGTAACCAAAGCGCCTAATCTCCACCTAGTGCATCTCAATTCGTCAAATAATTTTTTATTTTTATTTTTATTTTTGTAAAAAATATAGGAACCATTGACTTTAATCATGAATATGAAGAAAAATACTTGTAAAGTAAGATAAAAACTATATATGTTTGTATATATATACTTACATTTTATTTTTATTTAATATTTATAACATAATGTAGTTAAGTGATAGATTATTTCATGCGACAATTCTATCATTCATGCATGTTAATATGTGTGTATATATTTTCAAACACACACAAACACGATACTACCGTTTAACTATGTATTACTTTCACATTTATGCAAAAAAATTGATAAATATACAATTTATGTGTCTCTGATTAGTTCCCGTCTAGGTGCCCGTCTAGCCGTCTAGGCACTGGATTGACGCCCGACTAGCGCCCATCGTCTTTTAAAATATTGAAAACAAGACTAGATCAGACTAGATAGACCAGAAAATTTTAATACAAGTAAAAACATTCTAAAATGAATTAAAATATTTTCATTACCCTCTCTTTCTTCGACCATCACGTTTTTTTATGAGTCAGCATGTGTAGCATGTGTAGAAGGCTTTTTAGGATGTTTTTACTTGGACTGTAATTTGCCCCAGACCAGACCAGACCAGTTCAGACCAGACCAGACCAGACCATACTTGGATAGTTATAAAAATACAAAGAAACCAGACCTTATCAGACCAGACCAGACCAGACCAGACCAGATCAGACCAGACCAGATCAGACCAGACCAACAAATTACAGTCCAAGTAAAAACATCCTTATCCTTAGTCTCCTTCATGGCGTGGAATGATTTTTTTGACAACTTAGCAAAATCTAATAATTAATAAAAACGGTATGCATTGGAGCGAAAATAAACACACACTATCTGTTTTTATGAGTTGAAGCATTTTTAAATAGACTAGACATCACACGTTGAGGATGCTCTAACAACCCCTTAAACTAATAGCATAGTGGTATGTTTGGTAGGTATACTACGTAAAATATTACGGAGTAGTAATTATTTTACACATGAAGTGTAGGAATTGTAGGAACGTAAAATGTTTATACTAATTCATTTCACATCGTATTGTATAAAATATTTAACTTCGAAGAGATAGTAAAATACTTAATACTGTATGTTTTTTGTAACGAATTAGAATGACTTTACCATCATACTTCTCAAATCATCTATGATGACACAGTTGATCCGACCTCCTCCTGAACCACCGCCATAGGAGGAAAGAGTATTACAAGATTTTTATCAAACTATTCAGTACGAGGTTGGAATAAATATCACTGGTTTCAAAAAATCGAGACAAATATGCAAGTACAATGAAATCAAGCAAAGACGCGATATAATTGGAAACCGATGGCTTGTTGCTTTATTATTTTCTTATGTCGGTTTGTTTTATGTAGTTTCGCCTATTTTAGTAATTTGAAGTACCTTTTATTTATTTGTTTTGTTTTGGTAGAGTTGTCAGTGTTTCAACTCACTATAAGAACATGAAGACTTGTATGGTGATGTTAAGCTTCAGCTTGTCTATTACATGGTTAGCGACTTCTGCAGCTCGTTTGTGGGTAGCAGAGTCAAAGTCTGATCATTGGACTTATGCCTGGAGTTGGTATGATCTTAAGTCTATTGTAATGTGGTTTGATTTATTAATTTTAGTATAGACTATTTCCGTTAAAAAAATACAACTTAAAAATAAATTATACATCTAACCAATAATACCTGGTATGATTTACTCCGTATTTTATTGATAAAAGTGATATTTTGCTTTTGCACCCCATTTTATTGTCTAAATTAGACTGTACACCCTATTTTTTAAATCATTAGTATTTGCACCCCAACCCCGTATGAAAAGACTAAAATGCCCTCCAATAACAATTTTGTTGGCCTTCAACATATTCCTTATTGAGGGGCATTTTTGTCTTTTCATAAGAAATTGAGGTGCAAATACTAATGATTTAAAAAACGGGATGCAAAATTTAATTTGACTAATAAAATGGGGCCTAAACTCAAATCATGCCTTAATGACGGTTCCCTAACCTTAATATTCAAATATTTTCGCGTGCAAGGATTTTCGCGTGAAATTGAAATTTTAAGAAAATCTCAAAATCCCAATCAAAGACTGCAAAACAAAAGGGAATAAGACTAAAATAAGACTAAAACAAAGGAAGGGAACTTAAATAAGAGACCCATTTTGATGTTGGGGGACAAAAATACCCTCCCTCTTACGCCCAATCAACCCTTCTGTATGCACCACGTTCTCCTACGATATGCTCTCTTGCTAGCTCGTGAAATCGACGACTCCATTGCTCGCGTCCTGCGTCCATGTCGGCTAATAGAATCTGGATCTGGCCCTGCTTGAGCCCTAAGCCGTGGAGCAGAGCTGCCAACCCTAACGCCGTCAAGCTCCGTCAGGATCCATGTAGAAGCTCATAAGGTTTCAAATCGATTGACTCATCTGGTTATCGCGGGAGTGGTCGCCGGCGCGAGTAGGCTGCGGCGAGAGCGTCCTCTTCCTCTTCTAGTCGTCCTATTTCTCCTCTTCTTCATCCCCTATCTTTTCTTCTTCTTCTTCTTCTTCTTCTTCCTGATTTCCTTCTTCTTCCCCGTTTCATCCCTTTATCGAGTATGTGCTGTAGCTTTGTTTCTTGTTTTATTTTTGTTTTTGTTTTACTTTTTGTTTTTGTTTAACTTTTTCTTTGACTTTTCAATTTATTACTTACGAAGTACGGTGTATTATTTTTATAACTACAAAATTGTCATAATTTAGCATTGTCATAGGAGTATAACTAGTTTCTTAGACTTTTTTTATAAATTGAAATAATCGTTAACTTAGCATTGTCATAATTATTTTATAACACCAAAAATTTTAATCTACCATGAGTTAATACTATGACATTGCCACATGCCCACATTGTGTAATATTATTGTGACATTGTATCATTATTTTTGTTGATAATGTTATAGTATTGTAAGATTTTAAGAACTGAAGTTACTTTTGTTGATAACATTATGATATTGTGTGATAGTATTTGACATTGTTAAGAAATGACGTTATTTTTATTGATAACATTCTAACGTGACATTGTGATATTAACGTTGTGTCATTGTCAAAAAGTGACATTGTGTTCGTTGATGACATTGTGATATTAAGTAATAACATTGTAACATTGTCATATGACATTGTGATAATAAAATTGTGACATTGTTAAAAAGTGATATTGATTTTTGTTTATATTATAATGATATTGTGACTATCATGTGACATGTGACGTTGTGATATTAATATTGTGACATAGTGAAGTAATGACATTGTTATAATAAGTGACATTATACTGTTAACAAGAGACATTGTCAAGAAATGACATTATTTTTATTCATGACATTGTAACGTGACATTGTGATATTAACGTTGTGTCATTGTCAAAAAGTGACATTGTGTTCGTTGATGACATTGTAATATTCTGACATTGTGTAATAACATTATGACATTGTTACGACGTCTCATTGTTTTTGCTGATGCCATTGTGATATAACATTATGTAATAATGTTATGACATTGAGATACTAACATTGTACCATTGTCAAGAAGTGAGGTTGTTTTCATTGATAATGTTCTAATATTATGACATTATTTAATAATATTGTGAAAATGAAAATGTGACGGTGTTTTCATTGACGTCAATGTGATATTATGACATTGTCATGTTAGACGTTAATATTGTAACATTATCAAGTAGTAACATTATTGTTTTTACAGAAAATTACATTTGCATATTTACAAAGGTGTCGCAATTCTCTATGTTAAAGAAGTATTAAAATAAGTATTTAATATAAAAATTACTCCGTATTTATTAAAAAAGCTAAAACAAAAGACTGGAGTTTTTAGAGCAACGTACACTCCGTTTCAACTTCCAACATCATAAGGGAAATTAGAAAAATTCGTTTCAAAATAGAAAGGAAATTAGAAAAGAGAACAAAAATAAACAAAACAATTGCTTAAAAAAATCAAAAAAATGAATTGATTATACGGAAAACAAAAGCAAACGAAGAGAACTGAAGAAAAAGGAGAGGAGGAGAAAAAAGGAGGAGAAGAAAGGAGAAGAAGAGAAGAAAAATTGATATATGTAACATCTTAGCCGACACTGTCTTACACTTCGTGGCTTCAGATCTGATCTGGGTTCTCTGATTTTGCTGTAGGAGAGAGTACTAGAGTAGAAGCGCGCGTCGGGGAGGAGTCGGGTCGTCGGGAGGCAGAACTCTCATCGAAAAAATGTTGCCTGCAGCAGAAGCTTGCGGACCGACCTCACGCCGGACTGCCGGAGTTGACGTCGGGAAGAAATCGCCTACTCCAGAGAACTTGGTCGCACGACGGAGGAGAACAACTAGCGGACTGCAGCAGTTGAGGCTTCCCTTCCGTACTATCAGCGACGTCGGAGAGAAACCGCCGAAGTCCTTATCAGGTTGCCGTTTTCTGCCCAAACCGAAGGAGGGCAATCTCTTTCCCGTTCGTCGAGTTGCTGAAGTAAAAGAAGACCCAGCTGCGAAGAGATGAAGACACGGGTGACTAAAATAAAAAATCGGGGGTAAATCTGGAAACACGGACAAACATGGTCTTATTTAAGTATAAAAAACATTCAAGTCCTATTTAGATACATTGAGTTTTTTTTTGGTCCTATTTAGTACCATTTCTCAAAACAAAATGATTCTCAAAAATTCTTCCCATTCGTTCCTCAGAATCGTTGCTGTTGAGAGGGATTTGAGCTCCACAAAGGCATGTTCTTCAATGCCTGTGCCCCCAAGCATCTCAGCTCAAGCCTCTCTTCAACCCCATGCAAACACCTCTTCCCCTTCATCCTTTTTCGCCGCTGCTTTTCATCTCCTCCCAATCCTGTCGAATCCGATAATATTGAAACATTAGTTCAACATCCCCCGAATTATGACATCAGAAGGGAACCCCCGATTTCTGATAAACTGTTTAAATTCGCCCCACAGTCAGGTTTGCACAAGCAGGGCGACTCCACCTTTTATTCTCTCATCGAGAAGTACGCCAACTCCGGGGACTTCACGTCCCTTGAAAAGGTTTTTGATAGGATGAAACACCAGAATATAGTCTTTGTAGAGAAGAGTTTCATTCTAGTGTTTATGGCTTGTGGTAAAGCGCGCTTGCCTGATAAAGCTATTCAACTCTTTGGAAGAATGGTGGATAAATTTCACTGTAGAGGGGCTGTTAGGTCCTTTAACACTGTTCTTAATGTGATTATACAGTCCGGGTCATACTACCAGGCCTTGAAGTTTTATCATGATTTTGTAGATAAGAGAAGGTTTTTGATGCCAGATGTCTTGACTTTCAATTTGGTTGTTAAAGCAATGTGTAATTTAGGTATGGTAGACAGTGCAGTAGAGTTGTTCAGGGAAATGCCTGGGTGGGAATGCAACCCAGATGTATATACGTATAACACTTTGATGGATGGGCTGTGTAAGGCGAATAGGATTGAAGAAGCTGTGACTTTGTTGGATGAAATGCAAATGGAGGGCTGTTCTCCCAGTCTATATACTTTTAACGTTTTGATCAATGGGTTTTGTAAGAAGGGTGATTTAGAACGAGCTGCGAAGCTTGTAGACAATATGTTTCTCAAAGGCTGTGTTCCTAATGAAGTGACATACAACACGCTGATACACGGTTTGTGTCTCAAAGGGGAGATGGAGAAGGCAATTAGTTTGCTTCATAGGATGACTTCTATCAAACATGTACCTGATGATGTAACATATGGAACCATCATTGTTGGTCTTGTCAAGCAAGGGAAAGTCACCGAAGGTGACTACATTTTGAAAGCAATGGAGGAAAAGGGATACCCTGTGAGCGCATATGCCTACTCTTCGTTAATTAGCGGGTTTTTCAAGGAGGGGAAATCTAAAGAGGCGTTGAAAATATGGAAGGAAATGGTCGATAAGGGGATAAGGAAACCTGACACGGTTGTTTGTTCTGCTCTTATAGATGGCTTGTGCAGGGAAGGTAGACCTGATGAAGCAAGGGAGATACTTTTGCATATGATTAATATGGATTGCATGCCAAATGCTTTTATATATAGCTCCCTGGTGAAGGGTTTTTTCAAAACGGGTAAAAGCAACGAGGCCTTGCGCGTGTGGAAAGATATGGTGGATCGGAATGTTGTACCTGATGAAGTTTGTTACAGCGTATTAATCCACGGATTGTGCAAGGATGGTAAACTGAGAGATGCTTTGATGGTATGGAAGAAGATGATGAGCATTGGTCAGAAACCCGAAGTAGTGGCATACACTTCTATGATATACGTGCTATGCAATTCCGGGTCAATCAGACAAGGACTTAAACTTTTCCATGAGAGTGGAGAATCTAGAAGTCAACCTAATGTGGTTACATACAACATACTTTTTAATGCTTTATGCAAGCAGGATATGGTTTCACACGCCATTGATCTTTTGAATAACATGTTGGATCGAGGGTGTGACCCCGATTTGGTTACATGTAACATTTTCTTGAAAAGTATGAATGCGAAGTTGGATCCACCCAAACGCGGGAGAGAGTTTTTGGATGAGCTAGTGGTACGCTTACACAAGAGGCAGAGAATTCTTGGGGCCTCAAATATTATAGAAGTCATGCTTCAAAAGGCTTTATACCCTAAATTATCCACTTTGGATAAAGTGGTCAGAGAACTATTGAAAGAAAACAAGGTTTCACTAGCCATCGACAAGTGCTGGAATGACCTGTTCCTTTGACTACTCTATGGGGTCAGATGACTTATTTTCTGGCAGCTTTCTATAAATGTTACACCGAGTTACCTTTTTAAAATTAATACTGGAATGACAATCAGAATCGGTGAAGATGGGCGGCAATGGTGGATGGATTGGGTTCTGAAGGAAGAAGTTGCAGATTGGAAGTGAAGGATGAATTGGGTTGTAATGGTGAAGTGGATGTAGAGGTCAGCGAAGTGAAATTCGGGGGAAGATGAGTGAGGGAAGAAAAGAAAGGGAGGCTGTTGCTGGCTGCTACCCGAAAAATAAAATAGGGAAATACTCCCTAATATATTAGGAATTACTCCTATATTTTACTGCTATTGACTTGTATGACTACATAGTCACTGTAAGTGCCGTCATGGTCAATGCAAATTGGAACTACATCATGGTCACCATGAAAGTATAAGTATATAACAATGGTCACTAGTCATTACATATTTAAAGTAATGTTGTGTCTTTTTTTTTAGTCGGCATTCATTTGCGAAAATGTGCTTGGCATCCCACTCAATTGGTGGTAGTAGTGTGGTACACTGAAACCCCAAAACAAGGATCGCTAAGCCCAATAAACGAAGTGGAACAAAGTGACTTTGATACCATGATTGATTTCATCACCGGATCAAGATCACTTTTTTTTTAATGCATGTAATCCAAACCATTGTAAAAGATTGATTTCTATCTTAACTGGGGTCATAAGCACATTTATCAATCCTGCCATACTTCAAAGCTTTCCGGCCTGGAGCTCAAAACAGTTTTCAAAGATAAAAATAGGCAGTTTATAATCTCTTCAATCTTTGAGCTTGTTTTCTCATTCACTCTCTTATCCATTTCTTTGGCTGTGTAGTTCAAACTTCAATGTTCTTTTATAACTACATTTTCAATTGTAACACTCATTCGTTTGTAACATTTTGTGCGTGTATGATCCTTCGGCATGTAATCTTCATGTTTAGATCTTCCATTTGTTTGTGATATAATAATACGGATTAAGGGTGTTTACTTTGGACCCTTTTCAGCTTTGAATCAGGTCAGAGTGTCAGACTAGGTCAGAGTGTTAGACTAGGACAATTATAAAATACACAGAGATTAAACATTTATCAGAGACTAGGTCAGAGTGTTAGACTAGGACAATTATAAAATACACAGAGATTAAACATTTACCAGAGACTAGACTAGAGAATTCTAGTCCAAGTAAAAACATCCTAATACACTATTGATTGGGAGGGGTGATGTCCTAAATACTAATATATATATATATATATATATTTGCTGTGGTTTTTGTTATCAAAGAGAGTTTGGTAAATATATTTCCAAGATAATCGACTCACAAACCCATTTTTAAGGAAATCCTCAAATTATATTAATGTAAACATTGTAGTATCTAAAATTTCGAAGCTCCAACAACATTCTTTCAAGATTCCATATAAACTAAAAAAATGTCCCACAATTAGATTGTAGACAATCACGAAGTTGCACGCATAGTTGACAATCCAATACATAATTTTTACTCAAATATTAATACACAAAAATGCATTTTTTGTGTGTGTGAAATAATAGTATAATACAGCACTGACACACGAACAGCTGAATAATTCGGATATACAAAATAGAGAAATGCTAGAGGTACACGTTTGGCTTGTTTGTGACAAGTTGTCATTGCTCAAGACTGCAAAACGAAATGATTATCCATTCTCAAAACTTCTTCACATTCGTTCCTCAGAATAGTTGCTATTGAGAGGGATTTGAGCTTGCTCAACAAAGGTATGTTCTTCAATGCCTGTGCATCTCAGCTCAAGCTTCTCTCCAACCCCATGTAAACACCTCTTCCCCTTCATTCTTATTCACCGCTGCTTTTCATCTCTTCCCCATCCTGTGGAATCCGATAACATTGAAACATTAGTTCAGCAGCATCCCCCGAATTATGGAATCAGAAGGGAACCCCCGATTTCTGATAAACTGTTTAAATTCGCCTCACGCTCAGGTTCTCACAAGCAGGGCGACTCCACCTTTTATTCCCTCATCGAGAACTACGCCAACTCTGGGGACTTCACGTCCCTGGAAAAGGTTTTTGATAGGATGAAACACGAGAACAGAGTCTTTGTAGAAAAGAATTTCATTCTAGTGTTTAGGGCTTGTGGTAAAGCGCGCTTGCCTGATAAAGCTATTCAACTCTTTGGAAGAATGGTGGATGAGTTTCACTGTAAACGGACGGTTAGGTCCTTTAATTCTGTTCTTAATGTGATTATACAGTCCGGGTCATATAACCAGGCCTTGAAGTTTTACCATGATGTTGTACATAGGAGGGTTTCTATGCCAAATGTCTTGACTTTTAACTTGATTGTTAAAGCAATGTGTAAGTTGGGTATGGTAGACAGTGCAGTGGAGTTGTTCAGGGAAATGCCTGAGTGGGAATGCAACCCAGATGCATATACGTATTCCACTTTGATGGATGGGTTGTGTAAGGCGGATAGGATTGAAGAAGCTGTGACTTTGTTGGATGAAATGCAAATGGAGGGCTGTTCTCCCACTCCTGCTACATTTAATGTTTTGATCAATGGGCTCTGTAAGAAGGGTGATTTAGTACGAGCTGCAAAACTTGTAGACAATATGTTCCTCAAAGGTTGTGTTCCTAATGAAGTGACATACAACACACTGATTCACGGTTTGTGTCTTAAAGGGAAGATAGAGAAGGCAATTAGTTTGCTTCATAGGATGACTTCTAACAAACATGTCCCTAATGATGTAACATATGGAACCATCATTGACGGTCTTGTCAAGCAAGGGAAAGTCACAGAAGGTGCATACATTTTAAAAGCAATGGAGGAAAGGGGATACCTTGCAAATGAATATGTTTACTCTTCGCTGATTAGTGGGTTTTTCAAGGAGGGGAAATCTGAAGAGGCTTTGAAAACATGGAAGGAAATGGTAGATAAGGGGATAAGGAAGCCTAACACTGTTGTTTATTCTGCTGTTATAGATGGCTTGTGCCAGGAACGTAGACCTGATGAAGCAAGGGAGATACTTTTGCATATGATTAATATGGGTTGCACGCCAAATGCTTATACATATAGCTCGCTGGTGAAGGGTTTTTTCAAAACGGGTAAAAGCAATGAGGCCTTGCGTGTGTGGAAAGATATGGTGGATCAGAATGTTGTACCTAATGAAGTTTGTTACAGTGTATTAATCCACGGATTGTGCGAGGATGGTAAACTAAGAGATGCTTTGATGGTATGGAAGCAGATGATGAGCATTGATCGGAAACCCGATGTAGTGGCATACACTTCTATGATATACGGGCTATGCAGTTCCGGGTCAATAAAACAAGGACTTAAACTTTTCCACGAGATGTTATGTGGAGAATCTAGAAGTCAACCTGATGTGGTTACGTACAACATTCTTTTTAATGCTTTATGCAAGCAGGATAAGGTTTCACACGCCATTGATCTTTTGAATAACATGTTGGATCGAGGGTGTGACCCCGATTTGGTTACATGTAACATTTTCTTGAAAAGTATGACTGAGAAGTTGGATCCACCCGAAAGCGGGAGAGTGTTTTTGGATGAGCTAGTGGTACGATTACACAAGAGGCAGAGAATTATCGGGGCATCAAATATTATAGAAGTCATGCTTCAAAAGACTCTATACCCTAAATTTTCCACTTGGGATAAAATGGTTAGAGAACTATTGAAACAAAAGAAGGTTCGACTAGCCATTGACAAGTGCTGGAATGACATGTTCCTTTGACTACTCTATGGGGGTCAGACGACGGCTTTTTTGGCAGCTTTTTATAAATGTTACACTGAGTTAGCTTTTTCAAATTAATACTCCCTCAGTCCCTCTGTCCGGGAATGTGATTCTCATTTATTATTCTTGTGGTCAAATTATCTTTCTTTCAGTTGCTTTTATCAATCTTTTATCTTTTTCAATCTTTTGCAGTTTAATATTCCTTTTAGTGCAGTCTCTAAATATGTACACATTAAATTTTAATACTAATTTAAAGATTATTAGGGGAGAGTTTATTTTTTCAGTTAGAAATAGTAAACCGAAATGGGGAGCTTAATACAGGACAGAGGGAGTACAAGATATTGTATTTTTAATGATAAGAAATGGTCTAATAATCTTGAGTTGCTTTGTGTATCTTCAGACTTTGGCATGGTCTACAATTAAAATCAACCACGGAAGTAGTTCCAGCTCTATCTAATCAGTGGTCATTGTATGGCTAGATTTGACGCAGTTAGTTTCTAATCTACTTATTGCTTACTCCATGTGACAGTCAAAAGTGATGTTACTGTGATTATCTTATTTCATTATTATAATCTTCACTTCATTGACAGATAAAATGGGATCACAAATTGCTGCTTCATGCTTTGTGCTGTAACAGGTTTGCGTTTCTTGATAATGTTTGAAACTTGACAGAAGCAGTTTGTTACAGCTTTTGGCTAGAAATGTCATTTTTCAATGCAATACCTATTCTTGGAATTTATGACATTACTTTTAACTGAAACAGATGATTCAAACATTAAGGAAATTCCAAATGATGCCTCCCAGAAAAGATCTATCTGATGAAGAGTTGAAATAATTGGAGAAAGGTGGGGTGGTCTTTTGCTGGAAGTTACATCAATAAAACTCTGTCCTCTAGTCCAGGATTGAAGAAGTCATGAACACTTATGCTAACTATATTCAAGGTAATTATATTGTGTCATTTACTCAGTCCTCTTATTGTGATCATTCACTGACTTGGGAATTTCATTCACAGGTCAGAGTCAGCTCTACGTTGTAGCGATCAAGATGGTGAAATTGGAGGTTATATCCTTCTACCACCCATAGATGCTTATACTCTGGCAATTTTTATTCTCTTTCATTGTGACAATAATTCCAACTTGAATGTTCCTAATATCACAGATACATCTTCAATTGCGACATTTTTTTGTGTGATATTCGATTCAGGCATTATTATCGGGTTCTATTGGGCCACAAACAGCATCATGAATAACTTTCCCATGAATATCTACCGAATAGTGGGGTTTGAGAGTTTATCAATCTCTTCCAACATCTCTGCAGAAAGCCTCTCCCTTGGATTAGATTTGTTAGATCTTGGTCGATTTTATTGGTTACTAAACGGCTAGACCTATGCTTTGATTTGATGGTGTTCTACGGTTCTACCCAAAATCAAGCTCTCCTTTTCTTGTGCCTTGGGCCAAGGCTAGATGCTTTGCTGATCTCTTTTGAAGTATATCATTGCTGAACGTATGGGCATGAGCCGGTCTCCTTATGATGTGCTACAGGCCTTTTGTTTTTAGATTTATTTAGATGCACAGTGTGGGCTGTGCCCAATCATGCAGGGCGCTGCCTTTTTTAGCTTCTTTTGAGTACACCCTGGGGAATTGTCCGGTGTTCTGTTTCTTGTTCTGAATTTAAAAAACTTTGCCATGAAAGCATATATGAGGAGCAAT